CGTCCCTTCACTAGCTAAGAACCTGCCTGAGAGTGAAATGTCTGCCCTCGTTGCCTTTGGGGGTCAAGGGGGCGCTACACTTGGTTCAGTTTTACACCTTCTATTGTCACCTCTCTGCAGACAAGTCCTTACCCTTTGCGTTGCCTGAGGTGGCCGAGGGAGAGAAAAGAAAGTGGGGTGTGGCCTCTGCATCATCTCCCCGCCAAGCTGGGCGGGACGCTGGCTAGAGTGTCCCGCTCGGCTCCTGGCAACCAGTGAGGTCACTTGTTGCCTGGAGCTGAGCAGGACGCTGGCCAGAGCATCTTAGGTTGCTAAGTGCAGAATTGTTGAGATGTGTATGGCCCTTGCCCATCCCCCCTGTCTGGCTCTTACCAACCTGGGATGCTCTGGCCAGAAAGGGGACGGCAGACATACTGCAAACATTATGCAGCAAATCCATGCTGCTCTACCTGACCTAAAGAGGTGCCGCCTGAGGCATTATTATTGGGATGACCCTGCCTCTCTGACTGCAGTTTGTTCACTGGATATTGAGTCAGCATCAGCACTCTGAGGTGTGTGAGATTTACAAGTACGCATGAGCATAGGTTCAAACACGAACTCTTCCGAGCATGGAAGGAAGCTCCATCCAATGCCAACCAATCAGCTGCAGCCAGGAAATTCCCCTCCTGCAGCTGCACATATGGAAAGGGGTGGGATGCAGTGATGTCATTGACCGCATATGGCCACATAGCTATATTTGGTCAATTACATTGACTAATCTGCGGGTGACCCCATGGCACTTTGTGTTCAGAGGAGCTAAGGTTCAAACTGGGTTCAGTCCAAGCCTGAGCTCATCCTTGAATATAAGCCATAAGCTTACCTACCTGAACCTATGACATAATACAGCAAACTATACATTTCAGTAACAGACTGTGAAAGTGTGCTTCTCTAGATGCTGAGCTACCGCCTGTCTGCCTGGCCAGTAGTGTTGCCACCTGTCCAGGATTCACCCGGACAGTCCGGGTTTTGTATGCTGTGTCCGGGTTTCATGGCAGCAGAAACCCGGACACAAGATATCAGGCAGGCAGGGGCAACCAAAATTAAGATTGGGGCTACTGGCCGCGCACTGAAAATATTCTCAACTGTGATATTTACATATGAATGGGCGGCACTATTTACATATGAATACGCCATGGCTCATTCTCCCCCAAAAAATGCCCGAGCATCGCTAGAGTGTTCAGGTTTCACTTGAAGAAAAGGTGGCAACCCTACTGGCCAGTATTAGTCAGATTGGGAAATGGTTCACGCCTGACCAGTCCATACACTCCCCCAGACTGACCAATCTTAGGGGAACAACAATTGTAATCTCTTATTATTCACTCTCCCTCACTACACAACCAGGCCAGACCACACCCTCATTTAAGAAATATTTATATATTTTGGACAATAAATACAAATCACACGGCAGCGTTCTATCTGACCCTAGTAGGGGTCGGAGATCTTGTATATTTATTACTTTAAAAGTAATGAGAGGGGGCTAAAAACAAAGCAAGGAATCGCATATCACCCTTCTCTATTCTAAGTAGATCACAGCCTAATCACAGCATTAGCAGTCTTGTACATAAAACAGCATCCGTATACCCTATATCTTTATTTTCCGGCTTGATTCCTCTTTTAGGGCAAACAAGTATATTTACGTTGTACTAATGGACTCCAGTGACCCAAAGTTTACATCTAGTTCCTGACAGTGCAGAGCTGTGCTGCAGCTCGGGAAAGATCCCAACAATTTTGTCAGGATCCGCCCTGCTGTCTGATTGACAGCTGACTCCGCCTCTCTAGTGCAAGAGCCAGCTGTGCACTCCAACCCCCTGTCTGTCCCTCCAATGAGTGCTGGAGGAACAGAGAGAGTAGGGTGGAATCCCTACAGGGAGCGGTGAATGACGGTCACTGCTCTCTCCAGGGAGAAGACTGTGAGCTGAGCAATCAGCGGTTACATGGTCACTCAGCTCTTGATGTTTAAAGCCAACCTGTGACAGCCGCAGTGTCAAATGCCAGCTCTAAGGCCCAGTGCGGACCTATGCGATCCGGGATCGCGCGGTCCTGCACAATGCAGGCCGCAATTGCCGCTCGGCCCCATTGATTTCAATGGGGTGACACCAGCGCGGCAATCGCAGAAAAACGTACATGTACCTTTTTTTGCGATACACGACGCGCGGCTGTTTTAGCCGCAATCATGTTCGGAAGCACGGGCGGAATCACTACGGGAGCCGCCCGGCGCGACTGGGGTGCCATTAGAAAATAATGGCACCCACAGCGCGGTCGGTGCACACTTAGGCGACTCCTGACCGCGCGGCAATCCGCTGCCCGGTGGGGTGTTGCCTAGGTGTGCACCGGCCCTAAGTATTACTCTCCCAATACTTCTCCTTTAACCTTTGCCTTATATAACCACTGACTTCCTATAAAACCTCCCCAGTCTTATTAAAATAGGTCATGAACTAATAGGTATTGGGGATGCCAAATGAATTCTGTGCTGTGTAAGAGAAGCAAAGGCAAGCGGTCAACAGCAAAAAAAAAACCTGGCAGTTTGATAGGAGTGGAGGGACATCTAAAAACAAAAAAAGATTAAAAAACATCAGATACAAAAGAGAGGAGATTGGAAATGGCAGTGAACTTTCAACACACATATACTGTGCATACATCTATGGCAGGGGTGGGCACCTCTGGTCCTCCAGCTGTTGTGGAACTGCAAGTCACAAAAGGCATTGCAAGACTGACAGCCACAGGCATGACTCCCAGAGGCAGATGCATGCTGGGATTTGTAGTTAAAGTGACATTAAAGTAAAAAAAAATGTCCCCTACCCCCATGTTAATGTCAGTACTTACCTTAAATGATGTCTCTTGTTCCGATCTTCTTCTTTCCTGATGTTTTCATCTGTCCCTCCAGCGGTGCGGCGGCTCTCCGATCCAGCGCTGACTCCTCTCTCCCTCCGATCCAGTGGTGTCTGCATGCGGGTGCACGCGTCCATAGACTTACCTTGCGTCTCTGCTCGTCTCCCGGCCGAGAATCGGAACTGCGCATGCGCCCGCCGCCCCAAGATCCTTTGCGGCCGTACGAGCAGTTCCTGATTCTTGGCGCGGGAGCGCACAGCGATAACGAGGTAAGTTTAAACCTAGTTAAAGCGGGGGGTTTTTTTTTTTTAAACTTCTTGCCTATATTTACTGCATGCTAGCAGTAGATATAGGCAAAAAAAACGGAGGGTTTAGAACCACTTTAAAACACAGCTGGCCGGGTTGGAGTTGCCCGACCTTAAAGTGACATTAAACCCTCAGATTTATTAACATAAAACAATACTGTAATGTGCGCCTTACTGTAATCCATGGTAGTTTCCCTTCTCTTTGCTGCTCTTCCTTTTAAATCTGTATCTGTTCTCATGCTGGGCAGAACTTCTGTTTTGCAGCAGACTGCCTTGTCT